TGTATGGCCATGTTTCAGAAGCAATCTCTCCTGACATTCCTGACATTTCGCCCACATCTATGGCAGGCATCCTCTGGCAGGTTGGAAATTAGACAAGTGAGGTTTATATATATCTGTGGAATTTCCACGGTGGGAGACAAAACTCTCGTCTGCTTGAGGCAAGTGTAAATGTTGCAATTTGCCATCTTGATTAGCCTTGAATGGCCTTGGAGCTTCAAAGTCTGGCTGATTGCTGCCCGGAGATCCTTTGAAGGTGTTAGCTGGTCCTGATTGATTCTTGTCTCTGCTGGAATTAATCAGGGCCACCTAACACCTCCAAACAGAATTTCCCAAGGCAGCAATCTGCCAGGCTTTGAAGCTGCAAGGCCATGAAATGCTAATCAAGGTGGCCAATTGCAACATTCACACTTTCCTCAAGCGGACAAGAGTTCTTTGTTCCATACAGGACATTCCACAGATATATAAAACCCACTTGCCTAGTTTCCAACAAACCTCACAACCTCTGAGAATGCCTCCCATAGATGTGGGCGAAACATCAGGAGGGAATGCTTCTGGAAGATGGCCATACAGCCCGGAAATTTCACAGCAACCCAGTGATTCCGGCCATGAAAGCCTTCGACAGCATATGGCTTTTTCTGTTTACATTGGGAGCGATACTGTGCTTGTGTCCCAATTCCTACTTGTGGCAAATGCATTTCATACACAAACAAGGCACAAGCAGAAAACTTATTGGGGCAGATATCCTTATCTTCATGACATTTCTTTTGGTTCCCATGTCATGTTGTGGCATAGATTTCCCCCCCACTTCCGCAAGAAATGAGAAACCAGAGTTCATTGGGTTGTTGAAGGTTCTCTCCTGCGTTTTGCCTGCATCTATGACAAGCATCCCCAGAGGTTGTGAGGTCTCACAAACTCTGAGGATGCTTGCCATAGATGCAGGTGAAACGTCAGGAGAGAATACTTCTAGAACATGGCCATATAGCCTGAAAAACCTACAACAACCCAGTGATTCCAGCCATGAAAGCCTTCGACAATCCAGAGTTCATTGTTGCAGGCTTTGGCTTTCTCTGAATTAGAAGTACATGATATATTTGTAATGTTTGTTTGATTTATTATTGTGAGATGAGCCCATATTGACAAAAGAAGAGCATATTGGAAGTACAGTAATAGATTCCTACAGTAGACAGCAAAGCCGTAGATCCCTCACCAAATCCTCGGAGACCAGATGCTTGGATTTCTGCAACCCCCCTCCCCACGAGGTCCAGTCCATCTAAGGTCACAGCTCCCCATCCCTTTCTCACTTACAGTATATGACTGCAATAGTTTCTCTCTATCTACTTTGCCCACTATTTCTGGTTGGTGCCACGTCCCCAAAACAGAAGTGAAAATGTCTTCCAGCAATATGGTCCCTGGCAGGCAAAATCTTACCAGACCGCCAATTCCTTGCTAATCAGAATAGCAGGACCTTGTAATAGCATTTTGTTTGAAGGAAAGTGGTACTTAGTTGTCTTGTTTTAATAGACAACATGACATCTTTTTAAAAAGGAGGTGTTTGTGTGTGGTCTGTTGGTTTGGAACAGGGATCCAGAAGCCAGGAAATTGGAGTTCCTCCTTGGTGTGATCCCAGCTTCTCTGTGATCTTCTGCCAACTGATTGTTTCCTGCTTGAGTTCACCCTTCTATAAAACTGAGATAATTTCCTCATTTGGGAGGTTATGAAGCTTGGATAATGATGGCACGTAACATTCCCTTTCTGCCAGCGTTTGGTTCTACAAGGCCTTGCATTGGAGAGCACTCTCTGTTTCTCTGAATGTATGCAAACATGAAGATGTTTTGGATGCAAATGACTGACGTGTCCCCCAAGTAAACATAGCGGAAGGAGGGGAAGAAGGCAATCCTGTTGCTTTTGGACCCCACAAAGCAGTCAAATGAAAGCAATTACATTTTAAGGCCTTTGCTTTAATGATTGCATCTAAGCAAAAACCACTTCCCACGACTTATTTTTTCAGCTGTATGCAGAGCTGATAGTACTTTCATACGGAAGTGTGCTTTGCTGTAAGATTCTCTAATTGTGTCTCCCTTGGTCAGTTGTACACTTTCTGCTCAGCTTTTGCCATTAACCCACTCAGACCCTGAACTTACCTTTAGCCCCAAACTGAAAGAAGGGCCTACTTAATTGTGTGTTGTGTGGCAACTTTCTCTTCTTTTTTTCCATGCTACTTTGCCTTTGTTTTTATTTCCTCTTGCTCCATCTTTTTCCTTATCTAACAGAAGCTTAACCTTAGGAAGCTGCTGCAGCATATCATTAACTGGGGTGTGTCCCAATTGTGGGTCATGGCCACCCACAGAAAATCCCTTAATGTTGCTACTTGCAGATCCAAGGCCAGCATTTCTGTGGCTGTTGCGTGCTTTCAGGTAATTTCTGACCCTAGGTTGACCCCCCTGTCACCGTGTTTTCTGGGGCCGAGAGAGTGACTTCCCAGGATCACCCAGCAGGGTTTCATGGCCAGTTTGAAGGTTGGTGTCCATAGTCACAGGCAACACTTAGACCACTATGCCATACTGGCTCTAGGTCTGAAAAGTCTCCCTTGGGGCCTGCAATGTGAGTAAGAGTGATATAATAGCCACCCAAGCATTTCTGAATGCATTTCTTCTAAATGTAGTGGTGTTTGTGCTATGCAGTCAGGCATCTCTCAGGTAACAAAACAGAAAAGGCTTCATTTTTTTCAACAAAATCCTTCTGTACCTACCAGCTTCCTCCTTCCTTCTTGTCCTTAGCATCAGCATCAGAAGGATAATGGAGGTGGGCTCATTGTTGGTTTCAAGAAGCATATCTGTAGCTAACATAAGTGGAGAAAGACCAGTCTTCTGTTGTTCCTGATTTAACAGTGTTTACTTACAACAGACAAGGGAAACAATAGCTAACTCTACAATAATCCTTTACTGGCTGCCTGGGAACAGTAAAAAAGAGTGAAAAGTGGAGAAGAAATAAGTCTCTAAAATCAGGACACTGAATAAAGAACAACACTCAAAAACCAGGGAAATTCCAGTCAGGAAACAATCAAGGCCAGCTAATACCTCCCAACAAAGGGTTTCCTCAGGCAGCAACCAGCTTGAAGCTGCAAGGCCATTCAGTGCTAATCAAGGTAGTCAATTGCAATATTCACACTTGCTAACACTTCTCCCACCCTGGACATTCCACAGATATATAAACTCACTTGCCTAGTTTCCAACAGACCTCACAATCTCTGAGGATGCCCGCCATAGATGTGGGCAAAATGTCAGGATAGAATGCTTCTGGAACATGGTCATACATCCTGGAGAACTCACAGCAACCAAGTCTCATAAGCTCTCCCAAATGACAAAATCAATCCCTGTCTTCTGTAGCCTTAAACAATTTTTCCTCTGTACATTAGGCAGGTCGCTTTGTGCAAGCATACAGGTGCCGAGTTGTTTGTTCTGCTGCACAAGGTACACAAGGTGGTGGTTTCTTCTAGGTAGTGCCATTTTGCCAGGTTGTCTTTTGATCTGCCCACTCCACTTCTGAGTCTGTTCAAGGATTTCCAGTTTGCTCGTTCTTGGTTTGTTCCTGGAGGAAGACCCTTGTGAGAGGCAATTCATTTGGAATTGACTAATTTTGCTGCCCAGAGGGATATTCTTGCTGTTGCTGGGGGAACATTTAGAGGAGTGGTGGCTCTCATGAAGCTTTTCCTTGATTTAAGTCTACTGGGAGGAGGCTGATAACCATGCAGTGGGTGGCTTTCAACTTTCATAAGGCTTTCAACCTTATTTCTCTCACAATTGGCAGCAACTTCCCGTCGCACATCGGGGTGGGGGTGGGGTGGGGTTCCCAGCTAGTTTGTAGAGTCTATCAATGTTGCACCTCAGAATAGATTCACCTTGCTGAAATCACCAGAACTGCACACAGACGGAAGTCTTTGTAGTTTATTGAAAAGTAAAAGATGAAAAGCTTAAAAAGCAAATAGTGTTCAAAAGATCAATAAAACATAGCACTGAAAAGCAGCATTACAAATGGCACCAACGAAACAAAGTCCCATGAGACCATGACAAAATCCCAAGACCATGGACACAGGAAAATGAGCACAAGCTGCTTGGTTGAGTGAGAAGCTGCTCTGACAAAGGTTTGTTTTCAAAAACAGTTTAATACCCTTTGCAATACATGAAAGCATTTCTTTGGCCTCTGACCTCCTTCTTGTTGGCTATTCTCACACTCCTTCGAACTTTGAATTCCAAACAGTCAGCCCGATCTAAGATTCCCGTTTCCCGGCTGCTAGTTAGTGTCAGCCTGGTTGACTTCCTTCCTACTATCAGGCTGAGAACTGTCCTCCTTTTCTGAGTCAATTTGCACTGGCTAGTTTCAGTATCAAAAACACCATTCCCTGCTGTGGGAAACTGAACTTGCACACCCTGTTCCTCATTGTCTACAACAGGAACATTTTGAACCTGATTGTGAACCTGAATCCCATCATCCTCGTCAGAGTCACTCTGAGACCCCATCTGAGTCACAACACTATCAGTCTGTGTCTGTGGTTCCAGCTGAGTCACAACAATCAACAGGTGTAGGTTTAAGACATCATTTTAAGGAATGGGAGCAATACTAATATTTCCCTTAAAATACATAAAAGGCAGTGTCAATAACTTTTATCAGCTTCAATTTCATTTCTAACCTAAGTTCTTTTTGTTAGCACATTTACCATTTTTCAGTTGTTTCAGATACAGCATTTTGCCTGTCTTCCACAAAAACTAAATCCAAATTTTGCCACACTTATGGTTTACCTGTGGTAGTAATGGTAAAAACCTGCAGGCTGTGAAATTTTCAGTTTGGCTGAATCTAGTCCCCTTTCTGTCTGAAATTTAAACAACAGACTTGGGTGGCGCAGTAAGCTCAATAAGTGGGGCGAGGAGGGTAATGTAAAGAAAAAGAAGCACAATTACTAATATTACAGCTTCCACCACTAATGATTGCTTTATTTTCTTTAGGAATAGAATGTGAAGACCTTATGGAAGAGTTACTCTGCTGCCTCATTCAACTAATTGTTGAGATCCCTCTTTTGTAAGTAATTTTTTAAAATCACACATTGTATATCATTGCTTCCATTGTCTTGTGAAAAGATGCGGTCCTCATTGTTACACAGCATCGCAATACTCCCAGTTAATAAATAAAAATAAAAAGATGTAGGATTTTGTGAATTTTATAGTAGTCAGAGAACAGCACAAACAAAGCAGTTTGCCTGTTTAACCAACAGATGTTTGAAATGCCAGGAGTAATCTTTCCAGCTTTGGAGTTAGATGTTCAAAATAATTTTTGAAAAGATCAAGAGCAAAAGGACGTGTTACATACCCAACATGATTAAGGCCAGTCTACTTATGCTGAGTGCGCTTTGAAGAAAACAGTTGGAAAGTTTTAAATATAGATCATATGCTATTTAGTCGTCCATTCTTTTGATCATATTATTCCATAAAATTCTAGTTGCATGGAAATAAATGGTCGTGTGGCTCTACTGGAACAGTGCCTCAGAAAGCACTGCAGAATGGAGCAACCTCCTTTTTAATCCAAAGACTGCACGGCCTTGCAGGTAATACAGGGTTAAGAGCACAGGAGCCCCGTGACAGTGGAAAACCTGTGAATACCACCCCCTTTTTAAAAAATGTGAAATAATGCCCCTCTAGGAACCTATGTTTCATTTTCAAATATCAAATTCCATACAAACTGGATAAAGTTGAGGTGAAAGTCAGTAGGACAGTTTACAAAGTTCTTAGCCAAGGATGCAATCGATGTAACCTGAAATCAAATGCTAAAATGTATTTATTTATTTACCCTATTTATACCCCACCTTTCTCAAACCCGTAGGGAACTCAAGGCAGCTTACATACATAGGCAACAATTCAGTGTCATGTTGACAGACATTCATAAAAAATAAAAGAGATATATTAAAATAATCATTAAAAACACATCAAACCTTTAAAACACTTACTAAAATCACGTTGTCTAAAATCAAAATCCAGGCCATTGCACATGGCACAATTGTGGAAATTGAAGTAGGCCTTCCACTTTCGGCAGGGTTAGAACTTCTGCCAATGTGGAAAATGGTGAAAATGGCACAATTCAAAGTTCTGGTTTTAACCTATAAAGCCCTAAACGGTTCCGGCACAGCTTACCTGTCCAAACGTATCTCGCTCTATAAACCACCAAAGACCTTAAGATCATTTGGGGAGGCCTTGCTCTCGGTCCCATCGTAATTGCAGTCGTGTTCGGTGGGGACAAGAGACAGGGTCTTCTCTGTGGTGGCTCCTTGGCTGTGGAACTCCCTCCCTAATGAGATCAGATTTGCTCTCCTGACCTTCCAGAAGAAACTCAAATCCTGGCTGTGGGATCAAGCGTTTGCAGAATCGACTGATTTACTGGTGAAGATAAGATTTTAGTGGACCGCAATGGACTGATTTGGATGACGATTGAACCGGCGAACTGTTTTAATGTATATTTATAACTGTTTTTAATTTATACTAATTGTATTTTATATTACGTTATTATATTGTGTCGGCATTGAATAGTTGCCTATTGGAAGCCGTCCTGAGTCCCTCTTCAAAGGTTGAGAAGGACAGGGTATAAATGTTCTAAATAACTAAATTCAGGGATTAATCTTTCTTGCTTCTGTGTTTGGTTATCCCCCTTTTAAAAAAGTGTATACTGTCTAGACCTGCCATGAACCATTTCAGTAGAAGTTGTTTTGCTTTTCCCGGATTCCCTGCTGAGGTTCATGCTTCTCTTTTGGAGCCTTCTTACACTTAACATTGCTGCTTTCTTTTTCACTTGGAAATTGGACAGCTATTTAGCATCCTGATAAAGGCCCAGCTGTTTTCTTTGGAAGCGGTGCTGTCATGAAACATGGTCCTGTCATCATTACAGTAATTTTTGGGCAGTTGCTGTCTAGTGAATTCATGGCATGATTTAGAGAAGCCGTTTCTGATTATGCAAAGAGGCATTGTTGGTACTTCCTGAAATAGCGATACTTCTGTCTGGGGCAGATTAGAGGAAATGGCGAGAGGTGAAAGGCCTGACTAATATAGGCATGTCCATAAATCATTGTCTTTGTTGGAAGCCAGCATGGGGCCGCGTGGAGACAAGCGATAGCCAGTCCCTCCGTTTGAAAACCGTCTACAGCCACAGTCAACCCCTATAAAAATCAATTGCCAAGATCCCAAGGTCCATGGGCCCAAAGAGGCTTTCAGTGTGTATTTCTTGAACAAAAGTGATGTCATCCCTTCAAAAATGCTGCTTGGCAAGAGAGCTATGAGAGGGGTTTTCAAAAGAAGTTTGCGATATGGGAATATGAGTGGGAAGGGGACACCATTGATGCCTGAGATTACATACAATGTCATTTCTAATGGTAGGAATAGGGAAGAGTCCAGCCCAAGACTCTTGGCTGAACTTAAGAATCAGGGATCGTTAAATCAGTGGCATGTGAGCCAAAATATTGTATATATATGAGGAAAATTCTGAGAGTGCCTTGGACCTCGAGAAGATCAAACCAGTCCATACGCCAGGAAACAAAGCTTGACTGCTCACTGGAGGGAAGGATATTAGAGGCAAAGATGAAGTACTTTGGCTACATCATGAGAAGAAAGGAAAGCTTAGAGAAGATGATGCTGGGGAAAATGGAAGGAAAAAAGGAAGCGAGGCCGACCAAGGGCAAGATGGATGGATGTTATCCTTGAAGTGACTGGCTTGACCTTGAAGGAGCTGGGGGTGGCCATGGCCAACAGGGAGCTCTGGCATGGGCTGGTCCAGGAGGTCACGAAGAGTTGGAAGTGATTGAACAGATAAACCGCAACAATATAATAGGTCTAATGTGTGCCATTAATTTGTACATGTATGCTACATAATTGGTCTACTGTCTATAATTGTCCCAAGTCTCCACTTCTTTAAGCAGCTATTCTTAAGGAATAAGGCCAATAATTGGAGGCAGAAATACATTATGTCTAGGAATTAAGGTCATGGGAGATAATTCATTAGGAGAGGGAACCATGGAGGAGAAAGAATAAGACAATTGTAGGAGAAACTTGATCTTTTTTCTGTGTTAATGACAAGCAGAAACTATTAGTAATGAAGAGTCAATGAAAAGTGAATCGCAGTGCTCTCTGGACCATCCTCCAAACAATTGGGTGCCCTGACAAATTTGTCAACATCCTGCATCTTCTCTACAATGACATGATGGCAACTGTTTTTGACAGCAACAGCTCCCAAAGTGACCCATTTAAGGTGGAATCTGGTGTTAAATAGGGATGTGTTATTGCCCCAACCTTATTCTCCATCTCCACGCTGCTATATACCTGTGAAACGTGGACTGTCTACAGATGTCACACTCAACTTCTGGAAGGATTCCATCAGCGTTGCCTCCAAAATATCCTTCAACTCTCTTGGGAAGATAGGTGGACAAATGTCAGCATGCTGAAAGAAAGAAAGACCACCAGCATTGAAGTGATGCTCCTACGCCATCAACTCCTCTGGACTGGCCATGTGTCTGAATGCCCAATCACCATCTCCCAAAGAAGTTACTATATTTCCACCTCAAGAACGGGAAACATAACATTGGTGGACAGGAAAAGAAATTTAAAGATGAGCTTAAAGCCAACCTTAAAAACTGTGACATAAAGACCGAGAACTGGGAAGCCCTGGCCCTTGAGCACTCTAATTGGAGGTCAGCTGTGACCAGCAGTGCTGCAGAATTCAAAGAGGCATGAATGGAGGGCGAAAGGGAGAAATGTGCCAAGAGAAAGCCAACCCTGATAGGGACCACCTTCCATCTTGAAATCAATGCTCTCACTGTGGGAGAATATGCGGATCAAGAATAGGGCTCCACAGCCACCTATGGACCCACCTCCAAGACACTACACTTGGAGGATCATCATCCTCGATCTACAAGGGATTGCCTAAGTAAGTAAGTAAATGTCGAAGTACTTAATTCACAATTAAATTCGCCGCCCTGAGTCGCCTTCGGGTTGATATGGGCGGGGTAGAAATAACGCAAATAAACAAACAAATAAATAAATAAATCTGTATTCCACGGGAAAATGCGAGGTATACATACACACACTCTCACACGCAACTATAGGAAATACTTTAGTATGCAATAAAAATAATATAATAAAGATTAAATCTGTTACAAAATCCATTGTAAATCGCAACTTTATGTAAGATGTTCCAATTATCGTCCCTGTGTAACAATGCCCTGCATTGTCAAAGCACAGAGTTGCAAACCTTACTTCAGGTTTCTTTTGTAATTTTGTGACACTTTTCTATTATTGAAATCTTTAATCGTGTTAAAGGTGCATACATTTTTTGAAGAAATTCTAATCCCCCTCCGAATTTTAAGCTATTAAGGTGTATACAATTTTGTGACACCCTGTGAATGTCTGTATTTTGTGTCATGACAATCTAGGCTGATATTTCTGAATTTTGTGTTTGAGCACACTCTTTAAAACATTGCACGTCTTGAGCTAAGTAGCCCTGACAGTTCAAAACTTGCATAAAAGGTGTCAACATGTCGGAGACCACAAAGATTTTTATTTGCTTTGTTATCTAACCTACCATCTGGGTGTGTATGTAGGTATACTTAAGTCTTCTCCTTTAACCCGCCAGAATTATGAGTGTTGACATTAAATATAAAAAAAAAAACAGACTGTAAAGCCCCTTAATGCATAAAGGTGTTAAGAGTGGAAATGCTTAAGAAAAACAACAACATCTTTGTTCTTGAAATCTCAACCATTCTGCCTGCTCCCTAGACATCCAGGAATTTCTCTCTCCATACAGTTGGCCATCTGCATCCATGGGTTCTGCATCTGCAGATTCAATCAATCACAGATTGAAAATATTTGGGGGGGGGGGGGATTCCAAAATACAAACCTAGATTTTGTCATATGTCAAGCATTACGCTGATGTATAGGCATAATAATAAATAATAATAAACCTTTATTTATACCCTGCTATTTATTTTTATTTATTTATTTCATCTACTTATACCCCGCCCTTCTCACCCCGAGGGGGACTCAGGG